TTTTATTTTCCAGCAGATTAAGTGTTTCTGTTTTCATGTTTATGTCTTTGACCTATTTTGATTTTATTTTAGTACATGGTGAGAGGTAGGGGGTCCATCCTCAGGCATCTGCGTGTGTGTAGCTGGTTTTCTCAGCACCATTGGGTAAAAAGGCTGCTTTCCAGTGTATGCCTTTGGTCCTTTTGTCAAAGATTAGGTGGATTAATGTATCTGGGGTTAGCTCTTTTGTAAGTGGGAAAGAGGTCCAGAGACACAGGAAAGGGGAAGAGAAAGGAGACAAAGGTAAAGAAAGAGAATTAAGGTATGCTAAGCATGTGTACCGGCCCTCTGAGATGAATGTAAACGTTATGTAATGCAAACATGTACTAACTTTTTTTTTTTAAAGTCCACTCCCAGAGTCTCAGAGTGAGAGGAACACAAGTACCTTCACAGAGAGCAACACGGACTGGGCCAGAACAAGCAATGCAATGGTCCTCTTAAAAAACGGGTGCTGAGTTATGTCATACATTTTAGCCCTAAAGCCGTCATTATCTGGAAAAGAAAGGTTCAGACAAGGGCATTTTAGACATGGCACACATTTACTTTCCTGTCTTTCATTTTCCTTCCTGCACATCTCAAAGCCCATTACCCCACCCTCAGTCCCATCTATTGTGGTTTTGCAGGAATGGCTGGCTCTGGATTTCTAAAATGACAGTACAGGCCACTGTCTTTGTTGGAAGGGGAAGCACATCATTGCACTGCTGTAAGTTGAATACATTTCACTCATATTTTTAAAAGACAAGCACGAATGTATTTTACTTAAAAAAATGTTTTTCATTAAGGTTTATTCTGAGGGTACTGAAGCACGGACTTTAGGTGGCTAACTTTAATAGCCATATGGAAAAGTCTGGAGTTTAGAGCCTGTGTCTGAATTAACTTATGCACAAACCTCCTAGTGGCCTCACAATTATTATTTTAATTTAAATCTGAGACTCCTGGGGAATCATGAAAACTAGTGCCCAGCATGAATAAAATCAGAGCATCTTTGATACCAGGACGAGGTGGGAGATGAAGGGGCTGCGCGATCTTCAGTCTGCTCTTGAGATCTTCCCATCTTCTCTGATCTACGGTCAGCAAAGCCGTCCCCTTGACAAACAAAGAAAGCAGCCAAAGGAAAAGGAAGAGAACATTGTGCCTGGAATGGCTTTACAAACAGGGCCGACGCGGGGCTTGGCATACAGATCTTCAAACACGGCGGTGGCTAGGCAAACACGCTCAGAACTCTCAACTGGGCATGAGAGGACTTTCCAAATGGATGGCCATGTGTTTCAGCGTGTTCAGCAGCCTTCAACTGCTATCTTTGAAGATCCTTAATATCCAGGTTTGGGAAAATTTCAAGGAGCCTTTCTACATGAGCTTACTTAAAAATGGGATTCTAATAGTAGTTAATTTCTTTTCATTTCATAGGAGCAAATCTATAGCTTGTTAAAGGTATTGTTTCTAGTGAAAGGTATTTTTTTAAAAAAACATTCTAATACATGCAGTTATAAGACTATTTTTTATACGTACAAAGCCATAGAATTTGCCTCTTTAGAAGTTAGTGCTGTGATAACTTGCTAAATCAGATATTTGGCAGATATCAGATATTCTTTTATGTAACTGAATACTTAATTAAAATGCTTATAAATTATACTATATTACATTGAACTGGATTATGTTTTATTATGTCATAAAGGTAGAAATATGAGGTATCTGGAGGAAAAAACCTACCTCACCTTCACCCTTCTTTTCCTTCTTTAAGGTAACTACTGATGTTCCAGGAAACAACCTTTTTGGTTTTAAGAATTTTGTGCTTGTATGTGTGCAGAAGCATGTAAGAACATTTGTTCTGAATTTTTAAACTGAGGTAGTTTGTATCCAATATGTGTTTATTATACAGGTTTTTTTCTTCATCAGACAGCATGTTCTCCATACATCTAGAATCTTCGATCTAATTGTTCACTTTAACTGCTCACATAGTGGTCCACAGTGAAAATATCTCAGAAGTTATTCATCGCAGCCTTATGGGCGATGAACAGTGCTGTCATTTGACATACAGGTATCATCTCCCAGTGGAAATCCATCACAGTTTCTCCTCCGTGCATCTCCAGGAGAAGAACTGCCACGACCTAGGAATTTAAGCCTCTTTAGAATTTACCAGCTGTTGCTAAGTGGCGGTCCAAAGAGCAATGATCAAAGAAAGTCCCACCTTTCCCTATGGTCATGTTGACACATGACACTTTCAGACCTTTTACTGTGGCCATTTTGGTGAGTGTAACAAGTATTTAATTTAGTATTAATACTGAGATGAAGCTTTTTAATGTATATAAATATGTAAGTGGTGATTCCTCTATATGCGAATTGCCCATTTGTATTTTTTTACTCAGTTTTGTATTTTGATATTTTTAATATTTTGTAGCAATTATACATTATGGATCCTATGTAATCCATGTATATTCTTAATATATTGTGTCTTTTTGGAATTATGTGGGCTGTAAATACAGTATTTTGTCTTGGCTCTTGTTTGTATTTTAGGGTGCCTCTGGTCATTCAGAAATTTTAAATCTTAATGCAATCTATCACTGTTTTCTTCACAGATCTTGCTTTGTGGCTGATGTCAACAAATCCATAGGTGCTGTGGGGTGAAAGAGTAAACGCTTACGTGGCTTGAAACGGCTGAACTTTGCATGCCATGGCGAGGTCTTCGCCTGAAATGAGGGGTGAGGATGCGGTGAAGTGGCGCTCAGGCGAGCTGTTCCCATCTGGTACCCGGAGCCATCAGCACGGCTGACGCTGGCGTCGCGCTCTGCGCCCCTGGCCGTGCTTCCTCCATGCCTCGGCCACGCAGGCCCTGCGCTTTCTGCTTCCTCCTGGAGCTCCGATTTCCGACCACGCTTCCAATACCCACGCTATGCTGATTATTACTGTTTGCTTAGCTTTTGGCTTCTACCTCTTTGTTCTTTCTTAACCTTACTGGAGGTTTCTTACTTCATTTTAAGAAATCAGCTTCCATTAGTCTTCCCCTTCATAAAACATACACAGTTGCCTTCATTTTCTTATTAATTTTTGCCCTGATCTCTGTAACTTCCTCCACTTTGACTTTGTTCTTATTTTAATTTGTTGATTTGGATATTTGACCTATTAATAGTTAGCTTTTGATTTTTCTCAAATGTATACAAAATGGTATGTGTCTTGATTACTGGTTTATCAAGGTCTTGAGTGATCTTATACAAATGGTATTTAAAATGATGATCTTCTAAATGCTCTGTAGTGTTGTGCTTTGATTTCCTCTTTAATTCATAAATTATTTAGGATGCTGTGGTGACATTTTGAATTAATGAGGGATTTATATAGTCATTTCCTTTTTTCCATATTCTCACTTCTTAGTTAGTTTCTATTTTATGGGCTCTTAGAGGGTACATTTTGTATTTAAAACAATACATATTCTTAAATTGTTAGAATCATTTTTATTTCCATCAGATGAAATTTTTTACTTTGTCAAATCTCATATTTTCTTTATTTTTGTCAGGTTTATGAATTTCTTAAGGCACTATGTTAACATATTGCACTATGATTTTGGATTTGCTAGTTTCTTTTATAAATTGGTCAAATTTTGCTCTGTATGTTTTGAGATGCAAATACTCTATCTTCTGATCATCAGCTTTTGTAATTATTTAATTACATCATTTAATAGTATTTTTGAGTGTTTTTTTCCTCACATTAGTATTATAAAATCATTTAATAACTGCAAACAAATATTTTCTAGGCACCTTAAACCCTTATTATTTCTTTGTTATATGAAACAAGGAAAAATCAACTTTAAAGAATAACAGCAAAAGAAAAATAAGCATGGAAGTATCACCTGATAATTAATGTATAAAAAGCTTAATATCATCAAATTAGGTGTATTAAATACATCATCTCATGCTAAGGAAATCAGAAAGAAAGCACCCTACTGCTGGCCTAGACGTGGGGCTTTGGAAAGAGGCTTCCATTTTCTAAGGAAGACCTCTGAATTCTGAAAACCTTGCCTCCAGACTTTTCTTCTTCCCCATCTCCACATTGCCTCTCTATTTGGAAATCTACTTCTAAGTCCTTGGTCTGCGTGTGCCAGGACGGCAGCACTCTCTGTGTTCCTGGTCAGTTTCGTAGGTCCTCAGTCCTTAGCGGTCCCTGATACTAAGTATGTTCTCAGGTAAGTCTGTTGAATGACTAATAGAGGAATAAATGGCACTGCCTAACTGCCCATATGTTACCTTCTCAGAAACTTACAAAAAAAAAAAAAAAAAGTGCTTTGTCTAAAAGGTTCACATAATTTAGGAATTTATATTTCTAATTGACTGACCTGGTGTGCAATGTCTGGAAAAGGACTTCTAACTCCCCTTTTCTCTCAGTCCCAGTTTAGGGGACACCCAGCCCTCCCCAGAAGGTGGCCCCTGTTGCCACTTTCAGAACAGGAATAGCAGTGGGCCTTCCTTAGTAACTCAGCCTCCACAGCCCTTTCTCCACTCTGAAGACTTGCAAGTAACTGCACATTTGTTTCCAGCTAGGGGCCATTTTATGTTGTTCCAGCTGTGTGAGCTGTCATCGACCCTGAGTTCTCCTGCACTCAGGAGTCCGCTCCGGAGCCCTACACAGTGCCCTGTGCCAGTGATACCTGCACTTTCCATTCCCTGGACTGATCCACTTGTTCCCAGCCTCTGAGATTCCCTGTGTCTGCTCCACCTCTAGCTCAAAGGCCTCTGAAAAGACCCATTTTGCTCTTTCTGCTTGCTATGAAACCGAACACACTATAGGGCTTAGAGAAAAACTCATTTCTGAACATGTTGGGGAATAAAATAGGGGGGCTGGGCCACGCCACCACGACCGTTCTTTCTAAGATTCCATGTTTCTGTGGGTAGGAGTAGTGTTGGGGCCTCCAGGGTGAGATTTTTAAATTGCACCCTTTGAAAGGCTGGTTGCAGTGACATACTCATTAAGCACACATCAAAGGTGCAATTGACTGAGTAACTGGTGCCACACACGTGGAGCCCAGGGACAGTGAATGACACACTGCCACGGGCGGCTACCAGCCAAAGAGCTCTGATGTGAACGTAAGCTCCAGCCATGAATAACATCGAACAGCACGGAGCTTGGCAGGCGAACCTAGCTTCCCAGGAGAGATTCTTCCGCTTTTCCATTAGAAGAGACACAGACTTTACAGTAATAGGTACTAATTCTGAATTCTGACCCCAATATTTTACATCTTATGCACCTTTAGGAAGTTCTACTTTTCTTGTACTGTGCATTTTAAAGTTGTAAGAATGGATAGTAATGGGTGTAAAGTCTTAGCACGTAGAAAGTGCTCCAAAAGTACGCCTTTCAGTTACTACAATTCCAAACACTGTTTCATAGCACAGCCCATCAACTGTACCCAGAATGAGGGGCGCCCCAAGAAGCCCAAGAAAGCATTGCTTTCTAAACCCTCCTTTGGAAAAGAAGAGACACTGCTGCCCTCTTGTCTGCGAGTCTTGTGTGGATCATTAGCGCTGTTACAAACTCAGCATGCTTCTTGAAGTTGTAAAGTGTGTGAAGTTTATATGAAATCGGAAAATTTTCTTTTTATCCTGTGAATTAGGATTTAAAATTTTGCCTGATACCTCCTATTCCCATCTAAATTCTGAGTTTACCTACTGAGTTATACAGAAGCATGCAATTTACATTTTGGAAAAGTAATATTACCTACAATCAGTGCATCACTTTCAGCTATTGTATTTTAATAACTTGCTGAACATCCTTTCAATCTGAACAATAGGAGATGCGCTTCTCGGTTGTTGGTGAATTAATAACATCGTTACCAAAAGGGGACATTTAGCCAGAGAACTATACTCCTAAATAATGTGCCTGAAAGGCAGCAATGAGGTAGCTTGTAAGATAGTTATGTGGATTGTTTACACCATGCACGTTAATGTGACTTCATGCCGTGAAAGGAAAAAAAAATTGCTCAAGGTGAGAGGCTAAAAAAGAATAAAGCCTATGCTATTTTAACCGAGAATTCTTACCTTGTTTTCGTTGAAATTAGCAATAACTACTCCAACAAAAAGGGTCAGTCCAATCATGCAACCCAGGAATACAAATACATGAATATAGATTCCATGGATCTGCATAAATGAAAAGTATCGTTACTCATCGGAGCGAATGCAAGCTGCTCTGGAAGCGTTCAGATTTCATGTGCTTGCTTACTCACCGGCCCCACACGATGAATAATAACGTCCCTCACTTCTACCCAGCCTTTCAAGGAGAGAACTTCAAACAACGCCAGCATAGCATTTCCCACGTTGTCAAAGTTAAAATTCCGAGGATTGGCCCTGCAATTTAGAAAGTGGATGTTCTGTGAAATCCCAATGCAAAGTGCCTGTGCCAGGTATCTCTGGCTCTTCTCAACCGTGGGTACCTGCAGCTCAGGGAGGCTGCTCTCCACGGTGTTTGTTTGTTGAGTCCTAGCAATGCACTAGAGTGTCAGAATTTATTGCTATGCTCACTAGCTAACAGTGGATGTTTTCAATTCAAAACGAAAGGCTCAATAATTCTAGGACCAGCCCCAGCAGTTCTGTAACCTTTCTGCCTGGTCCTGACAACACCGAAGACTAGAAAACCCACGGTAGAGATTTGCTGAAAGAAGTCTTGGGTCCTGGATGTGAATTTCAAAATAGTGTTATAATCAGAAATGGTAAGGCATAAATTGCAGCTTTCTGGGGGAGAGTAGAAGGTATAAAAGGAGTAAGTAGTTTGGTCACCTTATTTCACTTTGAGTCATTGTGTGTACATTGTCCTGAGAAACAAGAGGGTACTCCATACCTGTCATTTCTAAATTGCTCTCTCGGTGTGGAGTGTTTCCCTCTTAACTCTCGTCATTCTCAACAGAACCTTTCTGTGAGGCCGAGTGCAGCTTGTTGCCTGCACCCACCGTTGCTTTCTCCTTCCTGACACATCATGGGTCCCTTTATTATTTATCTTTTTTGGGGAAAGAGACGTCACACCTCTTGCTTTGTTGACACATTCATGCTTCTTTCTCCCCAATGACAAAAGTAATCCTGCCAACTGTGCTGCATCTTCTGTAATAGTTATAGGCCTTAGCTAACATTTGTTAGAAATTCAGAGCTTTTTTCCTTTGCTTCCTTAGTTGAGATTCTTTTAAATAATTAAAGGACTTAGACAACCACACACTGAAAAGGGGAGCTATCCCTGCTCTTCTGAAAAGGCATGAAGACCTGAGCTCTTGACTGTTGCTGTTTCTCTACATTATATTTTAATCATTTCTTTCTTACTAGTTCATTCATCAAAATTTAATCCTTGGGAAAGGAAACACTCTGGGAATCATCCAGTTGTGTTTTTCTACCATCTTTTAAATTTTTCAAACCATGGAGGCAATCATGAGCTGTACCTGCGTCAGCTTTTTAAAAATGTTAATTAGATGTCGATCTAATTAGAAAACATAAAGCTGAAATTGATTTGCTCTGGAACATTTAAGGCTGACTGGGCAGGGTGTTTTCTAGACAGTGGAAAAGACAGTCTTGAAAGAAGAGCAGAACTGGCTATGGTGGCACAGGCCTGCGATTCCAGCACTCAGGAGGCTGAGGCAGGAGGATTGCTGCTGTGTTCAAGGCCAGACTGAGCTACATAGTGAGATACCATTTCAGAAAAATGTGGTAGAACTGGAAATTCCTTTTTTAAAATTCTGATTCACTATTTTTTTGTATGACAGTGCAAGTATATTCTTTTGGAATTTTCCAACAACTTTTCTTTGGGAAGGTTTCAATTAAATTTCATACTTTCCGTAGCAGACAGAAATTCTAAGTCTGCTTCAGATGCTGCAGTTTGCTTGAATAAGGACTGCTTAAAACCTTGTGAGCTAGCTCTAGATCTGATGTTAAAGTTTCTTGCTCGGGGGCCTGGGAGATGGCTCAGTGGAATAAGCGCTTCCCTGGCAAGCCCAATCCCCTGTTCCAGAAAAAAAAAAATTCTTGCTCATCCTTTTTCTTTATGTAAAAGTACATTTTCAACTAAATTTGCAGCAACTTAAACTGCTTTTATGCTGCACATTCTGTCCAAGTTAGAATATGTTAGGAACATACTTTTAAACTAAACTTTGAAAAACAAATTTGCAATATCATAAACTTAAATTATTGAAAAGCTCCATTACATTTTTAAAAGTAAGACCTTTTCAGTTTTAATCACATAAGATATTTATTTATATTTTGTTCATGTTAGCAGAATTGGCAAATTTGAAATTTTATCTGCCACTTCATATGCTGCCCTTCCCTGAGCCACAGTCTGTTTCAACAGCTTCTTTTCTGGTTGATTTTTTTAGGAGATTATAATCTTGTCTATATAATTTAGGAAACTAAGACATTGGTTCTGACCTGATGACTTTGTTATTCTTTTATCCCCCTGTGCTCCAGGACCCCCAAGATCACAATACAGCAAGGCCCTCTTCTGGAGAAGATGGGGGTCCACGCAGGATGTGACGGAGCTTCTGCCCTTGGATGTGGGGACACGGAGCAACACTGTCCACAGTGGCATCCCATGTCTTATGTATTTCAGTCATCTGACCCACAGAAATCAGAAACTTGGAGAAAAAAATTTGTACGGTACCCTGAGCTCTGCACTGAGCTGGATCTCCAGCCTCCCTCCTAAAAGTTTGAAAAGTTAGAGACAGGGCCTCACAAAATCACCCAGGTTGGGCTTGACTTTGCATTACCTTGCCTCGGCCTCCCTAGTGCTAGGATGACAGGGCACTATGCCCGAGGGAATCAGACCTTTCTGTTTTTCCTAGAATACAGCAACATTTCTTTTACCTTGAAAGCTTCCTCCAATTGCAATACCTCAGCTCTCCTCACCCTTCCTACTCACAAACCAAGACCTTTGTTCTTGTCGCTTGTTTAATTCCTGTGGGCCACCCCTCAGCAGTTAGCCAATGTGCCTTCTTCTCCTCTGGTTCTGCCTGTCCTACTGCACTGTGGGCCAGAAGCTCCTCCTATACGCATCCCTCATTGTGTAGGAAACAGAAGCAGCTTGTCCAGAGAACTCAAAACCTGCTCTGAACCCCTCTCTTACATGGACTCCATCTCAGACCCTGGCACCTCAAATGATTTAAACCTCAGTCCCTGCAAACCTGGTTCTCCCTTTGCCCTGAGTGTAGCTTAAAATATACCTGGAAATGAAGTTCAGGTAAGCTAGAGGTGAACTGAGGGGCTCACTGATGGAGAATCAAAATTCTTAGAATATTATAAGAAATTATTTGTAATTCATTTTCTTTTCTTCACCAGACCTCAGTCATGTAAGGGGCAAAGGCTACACTGTATTTGTGGCTGAACCACTGATAAGCATAATACCTGGAAGATTGTAAGCACTCAGCGAATATTATAAAATTGAATACTTTGGTTTTTATCTCATTCATATTTTCCTATGTTCCAGACCATTGCCTAAAGCACATAATACAGAAGATATGATGTGTTTAATACTTTTTAGGCAGGTGATTTTTATTTCATCAAAGCTAAGATATTTTGAAGGAAATGACTGTATTCATTTGTAGAGGAAATGCCGAATCTAGACTATCCCCCAAATTAGTGCATATTTGCATTCTAATTTTAACTACCAAAGCTTTCGTCTATATATTGCCAGATATAAGTTATTTTCTCAAACTATAATTTAGCCAACATAAGATTGCAGAAACTTCAGCTCTAAGTCTTGATTACAGTGCTGCAAAGCAGAAACATAAGAATTGGTACAGCTCCTTTTGATAATTATTAGACTGAGAAATTTTATTTCACTGCAACTATCTCAAGGCACAATATCATGGACAAATGCACAAAAGCAATTATTGTGATGTCCAAGTGTTGCCTCTCTATTTGCTTATGCTTTTAAAATGTCATTGAACTTGAAAGTCCTAGTGATATTTGACATAAAACACTGCACTTCAACTAAACTTGATTTTTAAGATCACATATGACTGATTTTATGGGAAGGGTTGAATGCTGCAGGGTACTATCTGTCACAGGTTGACTTTCTCTAAACAATGCCTTCCAGTGAGTTCCATTTCTCTTGATATCTTGGGATGTCTGGAGCTTTCTGGTCACATCAGTCACAAGATTTGGGATGTGATTTCACAACATGAAGTGACCAGCCTAGAGTCCACATCCCAACCTCTTCCTTTCCTGAGTCTTCACACTCTAGGCCAGTGATGGGAAACCTTTTAAAGCTTGAAGTGACAACAAGCAGCTGGCTGAAGCATACATGCCATAGTTTGCCATCACTGCTGCAGGCCACTACACACCTGTTCTTATCCCTCAGGGTACGGTGCCTGACCACCTGTGATAGCCTCTGTGTCCAAGGGTCCGTTGCAGAATCCTAAGTTGGATCACCCTGCCTTCCTGTTCCTTCCCAGGAAAACCACAAATGGGCTTTTCCTGCAATTCCCCAGTCCCTCCGCGCTTTCTTGTGTGTCCTCCCCAGGGTGTGACATGCCCTGTCCTCTGGGAACTGTGAGCAATTGTTCTCCATGCAGCTGCCCTTACTGTACCTCAATTTTTCTCTTAAGACATTGCAGTAAGAAAGAAGAGTGCGCAATCCTACTGTGAGTGTGCACTGGCTTAGTGAATCTCGCCTCTCACTCCTGGAAACACACTCTTGGCCTCTGGGATATGTGAACTTCTCCCAGCACACAATTCTTTACAGCAGGTATCCACTCAAAATGGCTTAGAAAGGGCCATTTTAGATAGAAACTACCTAGTCCTCGTGACCAGATAGCTCTGCTCTGTCAGGTGGTGAAGAGCAGTTTGCCCACAAGAGCCTCTCTTCTTGCCTCACTTTTAGGGTTGAAGTCTAAAACTTCTCCTCAAAGTCTCATGCATTCAGAGGTGGGGCTTTGGAAGGGTGATAGGTTCATGGACGCTGCTCTTACCAGCAGATTGATCCAGTGAGAGCTCATATCTAAATGCGCCCTTGGGAAGTGGGGCCAGTCGGAAGAGGTGTGTCATGGCTGGGATGACTAGGGAGGTACGAGTCCCTTCCTGGTTTTTCCTTCTATTTTCTGTCTGGTCTCTGCTGAGTGGCTCTCCACCACCATATCCTTTGTCACTATGTTTCTGCCTCAGATTCAGTGACCCATGGACTGAACCCCCATCACTGGGAGCCAGACTATATTTGGATTTTACCTCTCTTGCTTTAAGTGTGGGTGTTGGGTCCCAGCAAAGGGAAAACTGAAGAATAGACCCTCCAAGATCTGGTCTTAGGGAGTCTTTTGTGGGACCTCACTAGGCTAGGGCACCTTGACCTTTCTCTGTAATGAAGGGAAGGGCAGTGACACCATACCCTCCATTCCTGATGTCATGTAATGGCCAGGCGTTATCTTCGAATGCAGACTTACTAGAGCTGGGTGATGGAGGCTGATAACGTCTCACTGAGCTCTGCTGGCTTGGTCTAGCTGCTCACTTTAGGATGCGAAGATATTTTTATTTCCTATTAGAGTTAGCTTGGAGGCTTTAGCCCAAATCTTAAGACAGAGAAGAAATAAATCCTATTTGATGCTCTGATATAAATAAGCTATTTTTATATTGTGTAATGAATTTTCATCTCCCTAAAACTTTTTATGCTTCTTTAATTTTTATTTTAATGTGAATTAGAATGCTTTGCTAGTGCACACTAGGGTGAGTGTTGCTCTGTGGGTCATGTTCTTTATCCATGCCCAAGCACCATATCCAAAATTAATCTCTTTTCACAGTCCATGGGTACTTAAATGAAACCAACATAAATTATCTTAAATTGTTTATAAAAATGAATTTCATAGAAAGAAATGCCAAAGTAAAGTGACAATGAATACCGGGCTACAGCTGAGTGAAACGCTATTGACATTTGGAAGAGAATGTCAGTTGTGAAAAAAGCAGAGTCTCTGGCTTAATGGTTATTCTAAGAATAGGTAAAAAATAATCTTATAAAGGTAATTAAAAGGACAAAGGAAGTTAACAGAACAGTAGTTCATCAATGAAGCAGAGAGATTCCATTCATAGTCATTAATAAAGTAGATGAGAAAGGAGGTGCTAGATATTCCTAACTTTGACACAAGTGCTTTGAAAACTCATTTTCAAGAAAAATGAAGTTTAAAGACAGAATGAGATATAATCAACTGTGCTACTGATTATTTCTCTCCAGTATTTCAATCACAGAAATCTGTCAATGTAAGTGGGTTTTTTAAAAAAAAAAAAAAATGGAAATAGCTGTATGATTTAAGGTTCTGTGCAGCTGTTGTAAAGACAGCAGCTTCTTCCTTAAAGATATAGGCTCAGAGTGAGTTCAGCTTTTACATCCTAGAAAATCTTTTTTTTAAAGCCTCATTAATTTTTAAAGCCACTTGAACTCAGGTGTGTGTTTTTGAAGTATAAGAAAAATATTGCAGCAGCATTTCATTAGTTTCCCAAAGCGACGCGGAATTCTGTTTACCATTGCATTTTTAATGATCTTAATTTCTCGTATCTTGTTGTAAGCCAGTGTTTCACCCCGTGTTACTCCGCATCATTTAACAGCTCCAGCAGAATTACTTCTAGTTTCATGCCATATTATACTGATTACAGTTCCAACACACAGTGCGTCGTTCAGGGTATTTTTCTTATATGCTTACCAAACCCGGGGAACCCAAAATCCAGGTTTCTTCTCTCCAGGTCTTAATTTCAAATTTAAGTTCTTGGACACACTTACATTAATTCTGAATATGCCATTACAATCTTCCTAAAGTAGGAAAAACAAGAGAGGTAAGGGAAACTGGTCAGAAGGTGAGTTCAGAAAAGGTAATGGATACAAAACATTTCTTACATAAAGTGGGAAATGAAGGCTTTTAACCTAACAACACTAATGTGGACAGTGACCCAGCACATAGGGATAGACTCAGAGAGAGGCAGGTTGCAGTTGGTGCTGAAAACATGGGCGTGTGGACTTCTGGAAGGGGCAGGCATGACTCTAAGGAAGACATTCACATGGGCGACAAGCACATGGAAGGATGCTCTATGGCATTAGGGGAATGCAAATTAAACACACCATGAAATAGTATTTCACACTCACTAAGCAGGCTATCACCAAAAAGACAAATGGCAACATGTTCTGGAAAGGATTCAGGGAGGTGGGTACCCTCGTACTTGGATGCCTCATTCACTTTGGGGTCTGTAGGCTAGTGAAGCCCCTTTGGAAAACAGTATGGTTTGTCAGTCAACTAGGCACAGAGTTGCCCCATGTTGTGGCTTGGTCATGGCTTGAATGTGTCCCTCAGGGTCGTGCGTTGGGGTCTTGGTCTCTGTGTGGTGGTGTGAGAGTTGGGGTCTCAAGGAAGGTGGTCGGGTCACTGGGCTTGTTGCTCTCTAACATGACTAACGTTGGTCTCTCAGAGACAGATCCTAGGAAAGATCAAAACTGGCCCACCCTAGGCTTTCTCACTTCCTGTTTGACCATGTGATCTCTTTTTCTCTCTTACATGGGCATCTACCATGATGTTATTTGCCATTGTGTAATGTAGCCAAGTGGCCTTCACCAGAAGTAGAAGAGATAGGGCTATAAATCTTAGAATCTCAACCTCCAAAACTGTGAGCTAATAAACCTGTTTTAAAATAAAGTAACCAGCTTTAAGTTTTTGGTGATAGCAATGGAATATGGTATACCCTATGACCCCCGATTCCACTCCTAGGGGTCTCTCTGCACAAGAGGAATGAAATTGCAGGTCTATAAAGAAACCTGTACTTGAATGATTACAGTGGCAATGTTTGTAATAGATAGAAGGTGGAAATAACTCACAAGTCCATCACTGGACAAATAAACAAAATGTTATATTCATAAAGCAGAGTACTCCTTAAGCATAGAAACGGGATGAATTTTTGATGTATGCTAAACATAGATGACTCTGGGAAATAGTATGCAAGTGAGAAGAGCCAGTCACAGAAGACTGTATGGGGCATGATGCCCTTAGTATGGCAGTTCAGAAGAAGGGACTCTACAGAGGGGAAAGATGGATCAACAGTCATTTAGGGCTGGAGGTAGACAGAGGGATAAAATGGTAGGGGGTGACATAAGATGCAAGCTCCTTTTGTAGTATCACAAATGTTCTAGAAGTGGCCATTGTGGCAGCTGTGTAGCTCTGAATGTGTTAAAATTATTAAACCTCACACTCAAAGGGGACACATTTTATAGCATGTGAATTGTCTTTCAATAAAGCTGCTTTAAATTTTTGTTTTATTTTATTTTTCTGTATCTAGTACAGGGTCTATAGGTTCTCACTATGTAGATTGGACTCTTAGTGATTCTCCTCCTTTCAGCCTCCCAAGTGCTGAGATTACAGGTGCATGCCGCCATGCTCAGTCTCAATCACTGTCTCAGTGTGCCCCCGTAGGCAGGGAGGCACAGCATGCAAGGGATCAACCCTGGCCACTGTGCTGTGCCTAAGCAGGCACTTTAGTCCGCTGAGCTATCAGGCTGGCCCTGACAATATTTTTTTAAAATAAAACATCCATAGCAATTTTGATTATTTTTCTGTTTCTTCTTCCTTTGGTTATTTTGTTTCTATGATATTGGTGTTGTACTTTGAATCTAAACTGATTTTTTTCTGAGTTAAAGGTATATATGATAAAATTATTGATACTTGAATACTTCAACAGGAACCTAATTTGTTTAAAGTTATCTTTGAGCCTACAGCCTATCTTTCTTTGGTATCCCCATTTCTTTCTCCCTGTTCTCTTTTTCTCTTTCTCTTGTTCTTTGTCCTCTGTCTCTATTTCTGTCTCTGTCTCTCTTTCCCTTCCTTCCTTCCTTCCTTCCTTCCTTCCTTCCTT